TGCCGGGGATGGGGGAGGGGGCGGGGAAGAGGATCAAAGTGCGGAGAGGACCAGGATGTGCATCACCCAGGGACGGGGTGTGGATCCCTTCCTGGAGCCCTGGGCATCACGTCCCTCGTGTGGCGTCCGGAAGCCATCTGTCAGTGCGATGGCAGGAGCGGTTTTCCAGGCGCCGCACTGTGGGTGCTGCAGGTAGGTCATCTGTGGCTTCAAGTTAATTTACATCTTATCTATTAGGTGGCAAGTAAAACGTTTTGGGGTGTGGTCACCAGCAGGTTCCTCTGGACGTTCGGTGGTCTGCACCGTGTGAGTGGCTGGAAGCAGATTACACAGCAGGGCACAAGAAGAGATATGGGGGATCCTTCAACCTAGACCGCAGTCCTGCGGTGCCCGGGGTGGGTTGAGGCAGGCCTCTCCTCCAAGCCCGCCCACCCCGAGATCCCCTCACACACAACCGACTGGTAGAGTCCCACGTTTGGAGCGCCCTAGGGAAAGCTCTGGCCAGCCTCGACTCTTCAAGGAAGGGAGGGTACCATAAGAACGTATTGCCGCCAGAGAAGGAGCCCACATCAGTTGCTGTTTCTAGCTTGATGCCTTTCCATCCCTAGGCCCACCTGTTGGAGCACCAACAGTGGACTCAATGCCCCTCCCCACTCCCATTTATTTGTGGAGTAAATTAGTATGTGCTAACCCGAGCAACAGTCTGGGATTACTGGGTTGCGGTGAGCCTCTCTCAGACCATCCCCTCCCCAGCAGGGAAATCCCTCCTTGAGTTATGACTCTTGCTCCCTTTCAGCAGGGCCAGAGTACATAGTTATCAATGAGACAGATACTAAAGGCACCTCTGCCAGATAGGATAAACAACCCAGCCCCAGAGGCCACTGTCCTGTCTCCTAAATATCAGACCCCTGGGGCAGCCAATGAGGGCGACACCCACACATCCAACAGTGTTTCCTGGAAAGTTCAAACTCCAAATGGAAAAGCACACTAAGTGGAAAAGTGCAAGGCCAGAACTTGCACTGGAACTCAAAGAGTATGAAAAAAAAAAATCTTGAAAAATTCTGTAAGTGCAGGAAGTACCTGGGTAGCTAGAAGTGCAGCAACCACATCAGCATGGTTTTATCTCATCTATATCTGACACTTATTTCTTAATGTTTCTTTTATTTATTTTCATTTGAATTTATTTATATTAACATAAAAGGGGTTGGCTACTTAAATATATATTATAAATATATGTAAGCTGTTCATATTGGCTTAATCCACATCAAATATAGTTTACAAAGGGAAAGGACAAGCACTTTGTATAGAATATACAGACATAGCATCTCACCATGGGCCCACAAGAGGGGCAGGGAAACAACTTATATTTACTAATTAGAATAGCTATTTCCAGGTGTGGTGGCATATGACTATAATCCCAGTGACTCAGGAGACTGAGGCAGGAGGACAGCAAGTTCAAGTCCAGCCTCAGAAACTTTTGGGGCTGGAGACTGTCTCAAAATAAAAAAAGGCTGGGGATGTAGCTCCATGTGTGAGGACCTGATTCACTCCCTAGCACTAAGGAGAAGAAATTTTAAAAATTATTGTCATCCTTGAGACCATATAAAGAACCCCTACCCCATCTAGACCATACAAAGAACCCCTATCCCATCTGACCACGCCTGGGGAAAATGTTACCGTTGTGTGTGACAGTTAGAGAACTCCTGGTTTCCAGACTGTCCTGTTCTGGGTGACCAGAGCCTCCCTCTACTACTATTCCTGGAACCTCCCAGTGCTGTACTGAGAATTATAGGCACATACAGCTTGGCAAGCAACCCATTCTCAGGAAATGCAAGCGCTTCTTCCCATCCCCATGAGACAAGCACAATGTGATCAGAGCATTTGTGGTATGCCTGCAGAGGTGACATAGAATATCAGACCAGGAGAGGCAGGGTTTTGGAGACTGGAAAGGAAGATTCAGTACAGGAACTGCACAGACTATTTCCATCAGAAGAGAACAGAGTCCCATCCTTGATGCCTACCTGTGGAGACTTGCCTAGCCCAACATCCTACCCAATTCCTGGAGTGTCCAGAAGCTACCCTCCCCCCTAACCTACTTTCCCTCAGCAGAGTTATGGGTTGTCTTGGGAAAGGATAGGAAAAGAGAAAAAACAGAGAGGGAGAGGAGAGAGACAGGCTTTCCAGACCCAGGCCCACCCAAATGGGAAGCTACAGCCCTCTTGCTTCCTGTTCTGCTTTAGACCAAGCCCATGGGGTACACAGAGGGGTAGGCACTTTTCAGTCACCCCATAGATATCTCAACAATCAGGGTTCATGAGCAAAGGACTGAACTAGAAGGACAGCTGGAGGATGAAAGTAAAGGATTCTTCCTCCTTTAGGCAAGTCACTTCCCCTCTTTGGGGCCTCCTTTCCCCATCTAGAAAGTAGAACAGTGAGTCATTCTCTCAACAAATTCTTCTTGAGTACAGACCATGTGCTGGATGCTGCAGGGAATAAGACAGAAGAGGCCTCTGCTCTGAGGAGCTTACATTCTGGAAACAGACAATAAACAAACAAACAAGAACATTTCCTAAGTGCTGTAATGAAAACGAAGCAAGTCAATATGATAGAAAGTAAATGTGAACCAAGTGCCTTTTTAGGCTCCTGTGCTAATGGTCACTTGCTAGAGTTTTATACCTAAAAGACAAGCCAGGCAGCCTCCTTGCCCTGATGTGTCTTATAAGAGCCTTTGTCCCGACTTTCATTCTACACTACCACTGATATTCCTAATCTAGGATGACAAATACTTTCAGATTCTCTGCCTCAATCCCATTCACTGAACAAGACTCAGCCCAGGCCAACATCATAGGCACAGGCCTGCTATTCACTTGCTCACAGTAGAAGACATTTTACACTAATATCAATTGAACAATAAGATTTGGAAAAAGGGGTTGAGATGTAGCTCAGTGGTAGAGCATTTGCCCTGTGTGAGGCTCTGGGTTTCATCTACAAAATACATAAATATACAAACAAAAATCAGAATGAGAACTTTCCATTTTTCAGATTTTTCCCTTCTCTCTTTTGCAGTATCCAGAGTCTCATGCATGCTAGGCAAACACTCTACCACTGAGCTAAAGTCCACCCTCCAGTTCTGATTCTTAAATATCAAACTACAGGTGCATGCATTGGTCAAAAATTACCAAATGTACACAATGTCTGTATATTGCACTGTATAAGATTTTGCCTGAAAGACAAAAGGTACAAATAATGAATTCCAGTTAATGAAATGAATTCTGAAGTCATTAAGGAGTGGTATACTGATTCTGCAACTTACTTTGAAATGCATCAAAAATAAGATGGATTAATTTAGTATAATGTGTGATTAATTGAGTATATTAAAATGTCAATGGAGAATCAAAGCAGCAGTAATGCAGGTGTTTGCTGTAAAAATTCTATTTATTAGGTGGGCATGGTGGTGCACACCTGCAATCCCAGCAACTTGGGAGGCTGAAGCAGGAGGCAACTTAGCAGGACCCTGTCTCAAAATAAAATATTTGAAAAAGATATTTGGGTTGTAGCTCAGCAGAACATTTCTGGGTTCTGCTGAAAAAGAAATGTATGTTTTTTTTAAAAAGGTGAAAGTTGGGAGCTGGGGTTGTGACTCAGTGGTAGAACACTTGCCTAGCATGTGTGAGGCACTGGTTCAATTTTCAGCACCACATATAAGCAAATAAATAAAATTTTAAAAGATCCATCAATAACTAATAAAAATATTTTTTAAAAAGGTGAAAGTTTTTACAATAAAAAGTTAGAAAGAAAATTAGATATTAACTTTACAAAAAAAAGTTTAAAAACTGCCTTTGATTTTCAAACAACTCTCTCCATAGACAATTCCAATATTTCTCCACATTAACACACATTTTTAATGAGGTTGTAATCTATATACATTTGTCATTGTTATTAAAAAGTATTTCTCACATGTTTTTAAAACTTCATGACAGCCATACAGTGTTTAATGTTTGTAGAAGAAACAGGTGGTATGTTGCTTTGGGGTTGCAGATTTTTTATTGTGTACATTCTAAAAGCACTGGCCAAGTCTCCCCTCTGACTGGGCTATTGGGTAGCAATTCTTTTTCATTGAGAACTAGAAAAGTTGGAAAACATTTTTATCTGTCTATCTATATCTATCTATTTTCTGCACTGGAGATGGAACTCAGGGGTATTTAGGGGTATTTAACCACATCCCCAGTCCTTTTTTGCATTTTTTTCTTTTCTTTTTTTTTTTTTTTTTTTTTTAGAAACAGGGTCTCACTGAGTTGGTTAGGGCCTCATTAAGTTGCTGAAGCTGGCTCAAAAAAAATCACAATCCTCCTTGCCTCGGACTCCTGAACTGCTGATTACAGGCATGCATGGTGATGCACGGCGAGAAAAACATTTTAAAACTTATCAGGGCAGTGAGAAATTGTGGAGCCAAGACTGGGGAGGAAAACAGCCTAGAATAATCCCAGTATTGGGGAATCCTTTCTTTTCCTTGGAGGTGTCCACTAGTTTCAAAGGGAAAAATGAAAGGCTGTGCCAGACTGTGATTCCAAAAACTGGCCATATTTCCAGTACCTTGCTATTCCCCTGTCAAGAGGTGGAGGCTATTTCACCTAGAAATTGGTGAGGTAAGTTTATGAGACTGCCTTGACAAACAGAATGTGGCACATTTGACACCATGGGACTTCCAAAGCTAGGTCAGGAAAGGCAGAACAGATTCCGCTTGGCTCCTTCTTGGGATGCCTGCTTTTGGAAACCAGCTTGTCCTATGACCAACGTTGTGATGCTGTGAGGTACCCTGGGTTGTATAAATGTTCTGGTTCACAACCCTAAGGTCCTAGTTAACAACCAGCTTCAACCAGACATGTGGGAAAGCAAGCCCCCGGGTGATTTCAGTACCCAGCTGTCAAGTTACCGCCTGCCTTTTGAGTCTTCCAGTTGATGTCCAGATACTGTGGAGCAGACACAACCATCCTGTTCAATTTTTTTTTTTTCCCCCCCAGTGCTGGCACATGCTGGGTGAGCATTCTAACAGAGCTACAGACCCAGCCACTATCTGAATTCTTGACCACATATAAGTAGTGAATATAATAAATGATTATTTTAGAATTTGAGCTATACCCCCTTGGAGGATTTTCACAAACTTACATTTACAAATCAGATGAGGAAAAAGAAAAGGACATAACTTACCAGGTCCCAAGTCTCCCCTTCTTTTTAAAAAAATATCTTTTAGATATATAGACCTTTATTTTTATTCACTTACTTATATATGTGGTGCTGAGAATCGAACCCAGTGCTTCACACATGCTAGGCAAGCCCTCTACCACTGAGCCACAGCCTCAGCCCCTCCCCCTCTTTTTTGAAGTGTGGTTATGCTTAGTAGTATTGGGGGGGGTAAGGTTTGAAGCACTAATGAGAGCTGATCTTTGGTTTTCTTTCCCCTTTGTCCTCCTGCTAAACAAAAGAGGGCAATACAAAGAAAATGGTATGCCCTGGGTAATGGATGGAAGAGACACAGTGCATGAGAGTACAGACTGAAGGCTGGAGACAAAGAGCAGAGGGCCAAGAAGACTCCCTACTGATTGGAGGTGAGGTCTCCCCTGGGTGGGGGTGAGGTAAGGCCAAGGAATCTCTAGTTCACGGTTCTTAGGCAGAATTGAGATGTTCTAGCTTCCTTTCCTCTTCAACCCAGACACCACTCAGGAATTGCCACCACTATTCAGTAAGCAGGGCTCTCTAAGGCTTCTCCTTCAACTCCCACAACATGCCTCTCCTAGATCCTGTGGCCTGTCCTCAGGGTTCCCTGATCACAGAGGGCCTGATTCCCATTCCAGCTTGAAGTCAATCTGGGTTTCAAATCCTTGTTTTGCTACGCATTTACTATTAGCAACCTCTCTGGTCCTCAATTTCCTCTTATGTTAGAGGGGTGATGTTATCTATCTCACAAGACTGTCATGAGAAACAAATGAAATAATAATGGCACGATGTTTAACATGGTTCTCCTGAGTGTGTGCACAAGCACATAGTGTTTTTCAGTGTGATTCTTGCTGAGTTTTGTGCAATTTATCCCCATAATCTTCCTCAGGTCTGTGAGCCTGATAGAACTTTCCTTGATAACTATATGGAGATAGACAGGGCCCTCTTGTAAAACCCTACCTCCAGAGCTAACACCATCAAATGCATGGAGTTCTGCTGCAATGTCTAGATGGTTCTGCCTCAGATTTGCTTTTCTTAGGCTGGACTGTATAAGACAAGCATTCTAAAGTGTCCCATCTTTATTTACAATGAGAGTCCCCTCCTCTCCGGCCCCTTCCTCAGCTTTGCTCTGGGGAAGGAGCTGGATAAAGTACTTCTGCCAAGTCCAGGGTCTAGGGGAAGAACCCCCTGAAGGGAGTGCTCCTCACTTCTTCTGGGCTTGTGCTCTGGCTCGTTGAATCTTGTCAGCTGTGGCTCCATCTGTGGCTCCAGTGCAGTGGGACAATACAAGGCTCAGCTCAGCCTCATTCCGGTGCTCGATGGCCACATCTGCAGCCTGAGCCACATCCCTATGGTTGGAGCAGAAGGGGAGATGGTATTGGGACTGCCCAAGGGCACCAACCCTGCCTCTTCTCAGCCACCTCACACCCACAGGGCCCTGATTCAACGCACCCAACGAGAAGCAAAGCCTTGACCTTTTGCTCAGGACCCACTCGGGAAGCGTACTTCTTGGCCTCATATTTGTTGTGTTGTTTCATGCAGATTTCCACAAAGGGCTTCACAGGAGAGGAAAGGGGTTGAGAGGTAAGACAAAGGATATCCTGTGTTCTCTTCTGAGCAAAGCCCAATGGATACACTGTCCATATGTATTTTATATATCAGTCCCAACAATGGCAAGACAGTTGTGATCTCAACATGCTTGGGGCAGAAAAAAACCTAAACCAAAGGCCTGTTAGAATCTTGAAATCTATTATTTTCGTGCTCCTCCTCCACCATCCACTACTACCCACTTGACAACAGGCATTTGCTGTCACTTGCCCTTTCAGGTCTTCTTTTCTCTCATGGTTGCCATTATCAAATTTGCCCGCCACACCTTTGAACCCCTGCCACAGGAAACAAAACCCCGTGACATGATATCTTCCCCTACCCAATAGGTGCACCTTTTCAGACCCCCGTTTTCCCAACTCAAGCAAGAAAGCCCAGGCACATGTTGTTCCTGCTGGCTCTTTGGGGGAAAGCGGCTCACTTTACACCTCCCTTTGCAGACAGACTCCAGCCCATCCTCCAGTGCACTCAACACTGTGGATGCTATCTGCCCACACATGGGCTAATACATGGGCAGCAGAACAGGTGCCTGAATAAGTCATCCTATCTGTCTCCCTGCCCAGGACTACCCTCGCTACTGGGGGGCTGGAAGGAGTACCCCTGACTTACCAGGTAACCTATGGGTGATTTCTTGCTCTTAGAAAACTTTTCCAGTTCCTCCCAGTCTTCCAAATCTGCCAGGGCAGTCAGCTTTAGCCACCAAAGCCTGCAGAAAGCTGGGCTTAGAGGTTTTGCAGAAAAGGCAGGTTGTCCACGTGCTGCCCAAGAGGTCTCTATATACCTCTTGTCAGGGATGCGGAAATCACGGGCCAGTTGTTCTGCACGTTTGTTATGGCCGTTGAGGATGAGGGTGGTGACCGTGTCATGTAGAGACAGGTCTAGAAACTGGCCCCCCAACTCATCTTCTAGGCGCCTCTGTAGCCGTAGGAGCCGCATTTGATCCTCTGTAGCCTGGGGACCAGGATGAGGCAGGTCGGGGATGAGAGAGACAAGAGCAAGAGGGGAAGCCAGGCAGCTCTTAGAAAAGGGTAAGCCAAACCTTGGCTGCAAACTCATTCTTGGCCTTGTAAAAGGCGTCAGCTGCTGTCTGCAGAGCTGCTACGCGTCCCTCAATACGCTACAAAGACAAAGGGAGACTGAGTTCACAATGCAAAGGACCTTGGCCCTCCCCACCCAGGTGACAGCTCCCCAGTCCCTGTGCCCAGGGTCACCAAGGTCAGCCTTACCCACTAGGGGCACCACTCTGGTATCCTAGAGGGATGACTAGCTCCTTTGGAACCAGCCCCCATTCTGGCCACACCTTTTCTCAAACTCTCCCTTCAACAGTGAGGATGTTGGATGGAGTGTGAACCGAATGCTAAAGCCTACATTCCCAGGAAAGGCATCAGACTAATAGCCTCAGCTCATGGGCTCCACCCACTCCATGGACCTCAGACCTCTCCAGTAGCATAGCTGGCTTGAATGTGGAAGCTGCCCAGCTCCTGGTGATTGTCATCTTGATTGTAAAGGTCCTTCAGCGTCTCTAGCTCCTGATGCTTACAGAACTGGGCAGAGGGCAGGCCATCAGTCAGCAATGCCAACTCAAGGGCTCAGGCAGCTCCAACCTGCTACCTGCCCACCACACACACCTGTCGATATAAACTCAGGGCCATGGGCTGGTTCCGGAGGGTCATGAAAAAGTCTCCTCGGTTCAGCTCGTTCTTCAGGTGCAGCAATACTGTGAACACTGTAGGAATAATAAGATAGGCTGGGAACTCTACCCTTGGCCCTCCTCAGCCCAGATGACCCAGTTTGCTTCTCATCCAAACCCTGCTCACCCAGGTCAGTGTCCCCACTCTCGATGGCCTTGCTCAGTGCTAGTTTGCTCCTCTTCATCTTTAGGAGAAGGGGCACTTGCTCCCCTGAGCGTGGCTCATATTCCAGCAGCTGCAGGGTGGGGAGGAAGGCAGAGAAGAGCTGGCACGGGGGCTTTGAACATTCATATCACAGAATCTGGAGAGGGCTGGGCACCCACACCTTGATGGCCAGCTCTGTGCGGCCACAGCCATAGGCCCGCGCAGCAATGTCAGAGTATGAGACACCAGGCGTGTCCCCCAGCTTCTGATTAATGGCCCGTGCAACATCCTCATCTGATACATCTTTCTGCTGCACCTGCAAGGTGTATGGGGGAGGGTGTCATACACATCTATATGTCACTCCTTATCTCCCAGCTCCACAGGGCCTGTGATCAGACCCTTACCCGCTCATTCCACATTTTTCACCAGGGCCTGAAATCACCTAAATGCCCTTGGGTCCCACATCCTTGCCTTGTAGCAGGCCCAGTGGGCCAGGATCCTGCTGACGCCCTGTACTTCTGGAAGACGCAGGTACTCACATATCTGGATGGCCAGGGGATATAGCCTCCGCAATACAAGCCTGGCAGAGAAGGAGGGTGAGAGAGCACAAGGGACAAGGTAGGGCAGAGAAAAGGGGCAGAGAAGCCCCAGCCTGTGCCTCAGGCCTCCAAAATCTTAAGATGTGTCAAATACAATGACCATAAGACTCTACCCAAGGCCATAATGCCCCCCCACTTACAGCCCTCCTATAGCACCCCTCGGCTTTTTATACCTGTCCAGGAGCACCTGGATGGTGAGCTGCTTATATCTGTATTTTCCTTGGTTAAGGATCCAGATGGGGATAAGTCCTGTTTGCCAAGTACCTGCAGACCACATCTCCAGCCCCTTCCCCAGTCACCCCCAGCTATAAATACCCTCCCTCCATGCTTGAGGATACTGGCTATAGGTGAGAGGAATCCCAATGTGGTAGTCCCGGACAGCATTGAGCACACGCAGGTCCTGACACATGTGCACGAAACTATCAGGTGGAAATCTGTCAAGGAAACACTTCCCAAACGAAGCCGCCTGAGAAGAGCCAGAGGGCAATGGAAGAAAGCTTTCTCTACTGCAAAAACCAGTTCACCTCCTTCCCAGCATCCCCTCATTCCCAGAACCCTCTCCAGCCCAACCCTGAGCAGACTCTTCTGCATGTCTGGTCGGTGTTCGTGTCCTGCAGCCTCAATGCATTGCTGCACGGCCTGAGTCAGCTGTCCCAGCTCCTGGATTTCTCGTAGGTACTCATCTGCTTTCTGGCTTTCTTTCTGCAGGGAGAGGTTTGGTGATGGAGCAAAATGACAGAGAACACCCCACATTGGCCTTTAGCCCCTCTGGACTATAGTTCAAATGGGCTGGTTTAGAGGGCCTGCATAAGCTGGAGCCTGAACTCTCTCACTCTGTTCAGTATATCTGAGATCATCCCATGTTGGCTCACAGTTGCCTCTGGGAGGCCTTGACAACTTCTAACAGTAGTGCTGACTTATGCCTAGCTGGAGATAGCAAGGACACCCTATCCTTCTCCATTACCATATGGAGAAACACCCATGTTACTTGAATTCCCAAGCAGCCCACCAGTGTTCTCCCTGAAGCCCTCTTTTTATTTGTCCTCGGCACTGAGGATTGAACCCAGGAACACTTAACCACTGAGCCACATCCCTAGCCCTATTCTTTAAAATATTATTTTAAATTTTATTTTGAGACAGGGTCTCACCTAAGTTGCTTAGGCCTACCTAGGTTGCTGAGGCTGGCTTTGAACTTGTAATCCTCCTGTTTCAGCCTCCTGAGCTGTTGATACAGGCATCTGAAACCCTCTCTTGATAGGTGGCACCTGGCTGTGCCCACACATGCCCATACAGGGGCAGAGGGCTGGACCAGTCAGGGGGCAGGAAGAAGGGACTTCTTCCCTTCTTAGGGCCTGGGAAGAAGTCCACAGATTTACCTCATACTCCTTCTGGGCCTCCAACAGTAGTGCTCCGGGGGCCATCGAGGCAATTTTGAAGATCTCCTCACTGGCCACTGGGGGAGGGAGTCAGTGAGTGCAGATGGGGCAAGAAAACCTTCAGTCTTGCCTCAATACCCAGATCCTCCTTTGGGCCACTGGCCTAGGGTAACTGGGATGTTGAGGAGCCTCTGCCCCGGGTTACATGATACCCTTGTGGAGATCTCACCTGGAACCTCATGTAGAAACTCATGGGTGCTGCGGGAGAAGATGCGGACCCCATCAAGTTCAGGTACCAGGTAGGAATCCTCATCAAGCACAAACCTGAGCTTGGTTAAGGTTTCCAAGAGTGTCTCTAAAGTTAAGGTGGGATCAGTGACCTCCCTCCCCCCTCCCACACCACAAGGCAGCCCTTTAAGGATACTGAATGCTCTCAGGTGCATCGCCCACCACCATTAGCAGCCTCTCCCAGGCCACCACGACAGCCCTTTCCTTGCTGCGAGGACGACTGCACCTGTTGATAGCACCATACACACAAATCTGGGACACTTCCAGGACAGCAGACCCACAGCCAAGTCTCCCACATCACTGCTGCATCCCTTTGCCCTGGTTCAGCCCTGCACAAGACTGTGCCCTTATTCTATTATTTTGGCCTCAGGATGACCTGTCTGCTTCCCTCTCACCCCTGTATCAACAGCTCCCCATGGCAGCTGAAGCCCACCAGGACAATGGTTCCTTCAAGTGTTCACTGGCCAAATAGAAGATCCAAGCTCTACTTGGTTTGGCCAGTAGACAGGATGGTTCATGGTGTCCCCAGAAACATGTTTCACTCCCATCCCCAAATAACACCCCTATTCTTACCAGACCATCTGCTTCGGGGGTGCCCGAATGTTGCAGTTGAATTCACACAGCTTCTCCTGAAAGGGTGCAGGGATGTCATGGCCCCATCCCAGCAATCACCAGTCTGATTGAAAAGTCCCACCCCTGCCCCGCAACAGATTTTCATTGGACAAGTATAGTATCCCCTGTTATTCTAGGATCACACCTTGAGTGATGCTGTCCCCATCCAGATATAGCCTGTGTCTGTGAAGAGCGCCAGGTGTCGGTAGGTGAAGGAGACAGCCATCTGCAGGAAGCTGCTCACTCCTGGGGCCAGGCCAGGAGGCGTCTGGGGCAAGGCGGAGTAGAATACCAGATGGACACTTCTCAGAGCCTTCCCACTGCCTCCCTCGCCCCTCCATTTCATTCTCACTCAGGCACTCACCACTGCAGAGCAGGTTGCATGGTCCAGGAGGTAAAGATCAGGCCCCACAGCCAGGAGAATGTGTGCTACTCGGTCCTGGCAGAGTGTGGTCCAGCATGAGGGTGCACTTTGTAGACCTGCAACCAGGGAAGGGGACAACCTCATGATGAATAGAGCCCTCATCTGGTCCCACAGTCTGGAGGCACATCTGTGGCGCTAAAGAGCTATCTCAGGGCTTACCTGGTACCTCTGGCATCCGGCGGAGTTTGAGATCGCCCACATTGGCACTGAGGGTAAAACGATGGGCCCCCGTGAGGATGGCCACCCCAGAACCAAATTCAGTGTGAAAGATCCGGGCATCTAGGACCCGGTTCTGGAGCACCTCCTGGGGAGAAGGACCATGGGTTGAGGGAACCACAGGGTCATAAACCCCATCCTCTTTCCTAGCCCCCTGTGGCCCCTTACATTGCCCATGCTGAAGTGTCTTCGGAAGTCACCATGAAGCCCATAAACCAGCACTGCACCGTCTTCCTGCACACAAAGCAACTCCTCCTCAGCTGACCAGCCCAGGGACACCACAGGTCCACTCTTCCACTGCAAAGAGAGACTCCTGAGGCTATCCTTGGAATAAGGAAGCCCTGCCCAGCCCACAGACCAGGGACAGTCTGGAAAGCTCACCAGTAGGCTGGCCAGAGGCATACCAGAAGCAGAGTAAATCTCAAGTACTGGTCGCACGCTGGCAGCTTTCTCCTTCCTCCAGGGGTTCCTCAGCAGCGCTGTGGTTTGAAAAGAGATTTCTGTCCTAGACTCTCAGGCTCCATGCAGGACTCATGGACCAGGGTCTCAGGCCTACCCGTGAGGCAGACCTTAGGAGAACCAAAACTAAAAGCATTTTATTAGAGTGAGTTGGCAAAGAACCACCTGACAGCAAGGCCCTCAGGAATCAAGTTCATTCTAGGATCCCAGAGCACGCAATAGGGGAAGGACAACTTACCAATGGGGCCCCCATAGGGTGCAGCAGCCACCAGGCAGTCCCTGAGTTCCTCTTTCAGGTCCCAGTCCATGCTGTACAGTTCATATTTCCTGTCCATAGAGATGAGCAGATATTAACTTCCTCACGACCCTGCATCTGGATAGAATAAGCCCTAGAGGAACCCTTAAAGCCCCCATTTGTCCTTCATGGGGAAGGAGAGTCCCCTCACAAAGTAGAGGCAGAGAGATGAATAACAACTAAAAATTCACTACATGCCTGCCTAGGAACAACAGAGGAGGGAGGAGAGGGTATTGAAAAGGAAGGATGTGACTTTGGGGGCTAGTATCCATGATTGGTAAGAGCTCCTGAGGCAGGTTTCATGGCTAATATCCAAGGCACAAACTGAGACGGACTAGGGTGAGGTGGGAAATAAGACCCTCAGAGAAAGTCTCTCAGGGGAAGGAATCTTTATTCTATTTCTGGTTCTTAACAATGAATCAGGGTCCAGCTATGCTGAGTGATGATGAACTGTTCCGGAGCATCAAAGAAATCCAAGGGGAGCTCTTCAGTGAGATTGGGCTGGTCAGAGGGTTCTAGATTGATGGCAATTTGTGAATGCTTGGCTTATTGGAGGTAAGAAAATCATGAGCAGGCATGAGATGACTGCAATCTGAGATGTGCATGGATCACCAAGTGTGTGTCAAATAAGTTGGAGTAGGTAACTTGAAGTATGCCATTGATATTGGGAGGTAGGTAAAAGGGGAGAGCCAAAGGACAAAGAAAGAATGGGCACTATTCCAGGATGTCAAGAGAGACAGTATTTAAGGAGGGCATTTTGGCTAGTATCATTTCAGCAGCCTTCCCATTAATGATAAGGAAGATGCTCACCATTACCTACCACTTGACATATATCTTTGAGTTCCAAACAAAATAATTAAGGAAAAAAAATGGGTAGAGCAAGATTATTACTATAGGTTGAATGCCCATAATCCCGTAATCCAAAATGCTTTAAAAACTGAAACATTCTGAGCATTGTTTCAGATTTTGGAGCATTTGGGGTTTCTGGATTTCCAGATTAGGGGCTCAACTGTTATATCCATGCAAATATGCTAAGATCCAAAGAACTCTGAAATCTGAAATGCCTCTTGTCCCAAACTTTGGATAAGAATACTCAACCTGTATTTGCACGTAATATGACAATCTACTTTAAAAGTCCAAAGCAGCCTAAGGAACATAAGATAGCTTAACAGGGTGATCAACAAAAATCAATCCATTTTCTAGAGAAAGACATTTTTTATACCATAGCAAGACTCATTTGAAATGTAACATTTGAAGGTGGGAATGTGGCTCAGTGGTGGAGTGCTTGCCTCATATGTGCGAGGCCTGGATTCTCTCTCTCACTACAGAAGAGAAAGATAAAGACAGAGAAATATAACTTTTAAAATCATAGAAATACAATTTCAAGATACCCATGAATAAAACTACAGAAAATTTTTGCAAAATCACACAGAAGTTTCCCCAAAGGTATAAAAGACATGGAGAAATTTTCCAAAATGTTTTATAAATGTATAGGAATTCTGATAAAATCGTTCCTCACAATTTTTTTTTTTTTTTGGTGTGGAAGATGCATAAACTGGTTCTAAAGTTCATGATGTGGAGGATCATCTGAAGGAGAAAATACCAGAAAATATTTTAAAACATTTTGAAAATATGAGAACAGATACACGCCAAATATCAAGCACACTATATAAACTGAAGTTAATTAAAACTATTGTTTAGGATCCTTTCTAGTTCATAAGCATGGTTGTTCATGCCACTACTTGAGATATAACTCCCTCTAAACTTGTTGCAACATGGCACATTTCCCGCCTGATGTGAAAAAAAAAGAAAAAACTATTGTTTTGGCATAGGAAAAAATAAATAGATCAAATGTAAGAGAGCAGAATCCAGAAAAGAACCTAGAAATTGAGCATATAAAAAAGATAGCATTTCAAAATGGTACAAATTGATATTTGAAATGAGACCATATGGGAAGATTCTCAAAAATGTTATTTCGTTACTTAATCTTTATGATAATGTATCTTCCAGATGGATTTCAAGATTTAAATGTTAAAAAAAATGCCATATAAGAAAAAAAAGATCTTCAATATTTGTACTATCTCAAAGTAGCAATAATTTATTTTTTATTTAGTGCTGGGGATTGAACCCAGGTTACTTTACCCCTGAGCTACATCCCCAGCCCTTCTCTATTTTTTATTTTTGAGATAGTGTCTCACTAATTTGTCCAGTCTGGCCTCAAACTTGCCATCGTCCTGCCTCAGCCTCCAGAGTTGCTGGGGTTGCAGGCATGTGCCACCATAGCAATTTCTAAGCAATGATATAAAATCTACAAGTCACAAAGAAAAATTTTAAAAAATGGGTTAAAATTAAAATTTAAAAAGTAAAAATAATATACATTCATTTGCTTCTAAGAAATGGTGGAAAGACAACAATCTCTTATGAATGGTTACTTGTAGGTGAGGGGCAGAATTGTTAAATAAGGCCAGGGATAGTAATAGAACTTTGATTTATTTTGAAAAAACCACAATAACAAGAGTGACTGCCTAGCATGCTCGAGGTCCCAGGTTCCACCCTCAGCAACCCCCTACCAAGAGTCACATTAACAGTTATTTATTAAATAATTAACATTAGAAAAACTTTTATACATTTTTTAAAACAAAGTAGAAAGACATATGTCAAGAGGAAAAAATGTGTATGATACAATGGAAAAAGGAATAATCTTCTCAAAAGGCTTCAGTTAATTTTTAAAAAGTAAAAATTATACTAAAAGAAAAATGGTCAGGAGTTCTATCATACTGCTTTATGTGAAAATATTTAAAAACGAAACATAAAAGGTTTGGAGGTGTAGCTTAGTGGTAGGTGCTTACCTAGTATGCATAAGGCTGAGTTTGATCCCCAACACCATAAAATCAACACACAAACAATTTAACTAAAAATAAAAACTGAACATAAGAAATTTGAAAAAATCTAGGCTGATACTTTTATAATGTTTAGCTATGGAAAGGTCTTTCAGAATAAGACACAACTCAGAAACTATCAAGAATGACAGATTTATGACATAAAAATTTTAAATTTGTATATTAAAATTTAGTACATGGGCCAGGGTTGTGGCTTAAAGGTAGAGCACTCGCCTTGCACGTGCCAGACCCTGGGTTCGATCCTCAGCACCACATAAAAAATAAATAAGTGAAATTTAAAAAAAAAGTTTAGTACATAAAATAAAAGCCTAGTGACCACTATGAAAAGATGTGTAAGTTT